ACCTACGTGTTTTTGTGACATCATGAATGTAAGAAAAGAAGGTAGTTAATAGTGACATCCTGGGACATTCTTCTGTCTGAATAGTGGAATCTATTCATCATGTCATTATTACAATACACCTGTGACCCACAGTGCACAACCAGTTTTTATGGAAAAACACAAAGCGGGCCCATTAATTATTATTCAAAACTATACATATATATACACAAGTTCTTGCAATTAAAACAGCTGATAAAGTATATTAGAGTACTGATGTTACAGAAAATTAACGTTCTGATCAGTTGGGATGTTTATTGATGGTCATGTATAACCGAATGTGATGTATATATTCTAATGGTGCACCCCTGATGAAACGTTTACTTAAGATAAACCTTCACATCAGTCACTAATTATACAAGATACAGCATGACACTTCACAAATACGGTCAAATAGATAAACCTTCACATCAGTCACTAATTACACAAGATACACCATGACACTTCACAAATACGGTCAAATAGATAAACCTTCACATCAGTCACTAATTACACAAGATACAGCATGACACTTCACACATACGGTCAAATAGATAAACCTTCACTTCACTCACTAATTACACAAGATACAGCATGACACTTCACACATAGGATCAAATAGATAAACCTTCACATCAGTCACTAATTACACAAGATACAGCATGACACTTCACAAATACGGTCAAATAGATAAACCTTCACATCAGTCACTAATTACACAAGATACAGCATGACACTTCACACATAGGGTCAAATAGATAAACCTTCATATCACTCACTAATTATACAAGATATAGCATGACACTTCACAAATACGGTCAAATAGATAAACCTTCACATCAGTCACTAATTACATAAGATACAGCATGACACTTCACAGATATGATGAAATAGATCTATGGTTTATTTAGTCATCAGGCCATTACAGTCAGGTCCATTGTTTAGTTAGCCATCAGGCCATCTACACTCAGGTCCATTGTTTAGTTAGCCTTCAGACCTTCTACAC